TAACCAAAAAAGGTTGCCCGTTCTGAAAAAAACCAGCCCATTTTTTTTTTCGGTATCCAAAATTCCCCCAAGAGCTATTTCACCCAGAAGGCGATAGCCTTTCCGGGGTTTGGTTTTGGGGGGAATTAGGGGGCCTTTTTGGGGGGCCATTGCGCCGCCATTCCCATAACGAAGGAACTGAGGGGAGGAGAAAGGGTTCAACGTCGCGGCCCCCTTATGGGTCAACCCGTTTCTCAAGGAAGCGGTTAGCGACAAGGGAAAGGGAAAGGGGGGGGGGGGGGGTTTTCCTTGGGATAAGAAGGGGGAGGATGCGTTCTCCAAGGGGGGGATTTTTTTTTCGATGGGGGGGAGCGGGAGGTTGGGCGGGGCCCCCCCCCCATAAGGGGCGGGGGAATTTTTCGACATGATTGCCCAAATTTATAAAGGTGTGCGGGGGGGGGGGGGGGGGGGCATGTGCGAGAGTGTGTGTGGTCGTGATTATTGTTGCTTGCATCGACCGCGCTTTAACCGGAAGCATCGACTTTGGGGTGGTGTGATAGAGAGTCGGGAGCTGCGGGATATTTGTTGGCCATATGGGTACATTGCGCGTTCCAGCTGTTGTTGTTGTGTTCGTCTTGATCTGACCTGATGTGCTGGTGGCAGCGTTTGTCCTGTTGCTATCGTCGAAACGCAGCAATTGAGGGGGGGCACTAACGAAGAGTCCTTCAACAGAACATCCACACACATGGAGTACATGATCCTCTACGATAAGCACTGCTCCTGTTGCTGCCGCAATGAAGCACGCTCTCATTCGTACCCTCTTTCTCTGTCTTTCTCTCTCTCTCTCTCTCTCTCTCTCTCTCTCTCTCTCTCTCTCTCTCTCTCTCTCTCTCTCTCTCGCTCTCGCTATTTCTCTGTCTCCTGTGTCTCTATCGCTCTCTTTCTCTCTCAATCTCTCTCTCCCCCTGTCTCTCTCGCTCTACCCGTCTCTTTATCCCCCCGCCCCTCTCTCTCCGTGGCGTGCTTCGCTGTGTGCGTTTTCCAGGACCACAACAGCGACCGCACGACAAGAGGCTACGTCTTGACGGCCCTGACCAAGCTTGCCGAGCGGCTAGGCGAGGACCAGGAGGACGCGATCGAGGGCTTGCTGCAAACTTACAGCGGTTCCATGAACCTCGAGCTACAGGTGCAGCAGCAGCTAGACCTTGCCTGAGCACGGACCGTCGATACCGGTGGTAGCACACAGCAACACACATCTTTTCATTGGTCTGCCGGGTAGCTCGGTCGGTGCTGTAACAGTTACCAGGAAACACAAGACACGCCCACCCCCCGAGCGATTGGTGATTGCACATGTCACTACCGAAAACAAGAAGTTGATGCTGTTGATGCGTTTGGTGCTGGACGTAATTTTTGAAGTGCTTGTGCAAAAATTGGTCTAAAAGGAATACCTGTATCAGAAAACATAACAGGGACACGTCCTAGTGCTCTCCTCCTATCACTATCGCTATATCGATCAAGTGCTGTCAACAGGTTGGGTTTTTCCTTTCCGCACAAGTGCAAAGCGAGCGTGCTTCGCGGTGATGACAGGTGTCGAAATACGCATCATCACTCCTTCGTGGTGGGCAGGCAATGCATTGTGGAGGTTTCAACATCCTCGTTGAACGTGATTGGTCAAGTTCTTTCCTCAACCCCCCCCCCCCCCCGTCCTCCTTGAAAAAGGACAGCTGTCGGAAGACGCGTCGTCATTCCTTGGTGCAGCGGTGACAGGCGCCCCGTGTGTTGCGGGGCTTTTTTAAAGGGTTTTCCTTGAACACGATTGGCCTTATCATTTCCTCAGCCCTCGGCGCTTTCTAGCTCCTCTTTGAACATGATTGGCCATTTTTCCCCCTCAACCCATCCCCTTCCCCCCGTCTCCTCCGTCCGACGTGCCTACCTCCGGTCCTATAACGCAACACGGACGTTCGTGTGTGATCGTGGCAGGCGAGATCCTGCGAGTTCGGCCAGCTGTTGCGACCAGAGCTGGGCGAGCTCAGGAAGGGGATGCTTGATCGGATGCCGGTTGCCGACGAGGAGACCGTCCGCAATCGAAGAGCCCGCTTCCGAAACGAGGATGTGAGTTTTTTTTTTTTTCGAGGCAGACAGAGAGAGACAGAGAGAGAGAGAGAGAGAGCGGGGGGGGGGGCGGGTGGGTGGGTGTGCTCATGTAAACGTATGACGTACTCGTTAGACCATTGACCTGGCATGCCGGGATGGAGCGATATGCCGGGGTGTGGCCGGCGAGTAGCAGGTGGGCGAGGGGTCGTAGGCGGAGGGGAACAAGATTGCGAAGATAAGAGAGGAGACGGGGGCGAGAGCGTGGGGCATAGATAGAGGGGACCAAAACTTCCGAAGCGAAGATGAGAGAATGCCCTCACCAGGACCAGGGGAGGCGGTGAAGCACAGGCTAGGAACGCGTGTCCGTTGGCGTTGTTTGTCCCGCCATAAGGCTGACGTTTTTTCATTGTTCCAACCTGTCAGCGCAGTCGATGCGAGTTCAAGAGCCAGGAACACGCGCAAGGGAGGGATAAAAAGACACACATGAGACAGGCAGACAGACCTCATGAGGGAGGTAGAACGGGGGAGCGCGTTGTTCAGCGTGGCCTCTCTTTTTCTTAGTATGGGCCGCTTGTTTCACACTTGCACCCATTGGCCGCTCCCCTTTGTCTTGGGCTCACCCCCCCCCCCCCCGGGAAGGGAGGGGCCAGGGACAGGAATTACGA